ATAACAACCAATGTTTCAGTTCACAGCCTTAAATTTCCAGTCTGGAGAACATTTGCCTTCCCAGCCCCAAAGAAAAGTGACTTATAATGCATGTGGATTCCTGACAAACTGTTTACATGTAAATTTTTAAAGATGAATATCCTAGCTGATGCATTATTATTATTAATAGTAGTAGTATTGAATCTGTTACTTATGGGTCAATAGTCTTTAATAATACCTGAGTTCCTTTTGATTCTAAGTATAATAATTTAAAAAAAATTTCCAAAAATACATTTTCTTCAGGTACTGTGTCTTTAGCCACAGAGATGGCTGGCATCGGAACAGTGAATTTGAGCTGGGCATGATAATCCATACTTGAGATCCTGGCTGCTGGTCAAAATGAGGCAGTAGGGTTGAGTATTTGAGACCAATCTGAGAAATTAGTGAAACTGTCTCAAAAAAAGAAAACAAAAACGTGCTGGGATGTAGTTCAGTGGTGGAGAACTTACTCCTGGTCAGTACTGAGATAAACGAACACACACGCACACACACACACACACACACACACACCACACACACACACACACACACACACACACACACACCACCCTCTCTAACCCTAGCACCACCACCTCATCACCATCACCACCAAAATACCAACGAATTTTGAAAATAACAACAGAACAGGAAACAGTATGAATTTAAAAATTAATAAACTTCATGTTATAGATGACTTTCTGGAATATTTGTCTTAATAAAAATTAAGATTTAGAGACTGATATTTCTTTTGTGAATTTAGTATTTTTTTTGCTATGTACATAGCTTAAAATAAAATAGGATTTACAATGTCTTGCCTACTTATAATTCTGTTTTGAGAAGCCACTGCTCAGAGCTCTCAGCAACTTCATTTTGTATTTGCCTCCATGTTTCTAGAAAGCACACACTGATTTTTCAGTTTTGTTTATCATCATTTCCCCATAACTATGGAAAAAAGTTCCCCATAAGAACTTAGCTTTGTTATATAAACCTACATCTACAGAATAACACATATGCCATTGTTCATGATCTATTGGGAAACGACTGTGTGTATTGTTCACGACCAAGGTATATTATGTGCTATACTTACACTTTCCTATATTTCTTTTCATCAGCATTGCATTAGCTGGAGCTGCTGTCCATGTGTCTGTTTGACCCTCACCTCCTATGTTTATGTCTATCTGTCCCCTCCTGTCCATTTTTCTGTCTACCTGGCCTCACACCTTCTCCTACCACTACTTGGCTTTTTCCATGTCTGTAGCAAAATCCTTTGATGTTCTCCAAAAAGAAGAAAAAATTTCTTTGCCCATTTTTACAATTTCAGATTGTTCCTTAATTTCGCCATTTCTTTAAACTCTTCTTGATGTGCTGGGTGGAAAGACCCCTTTCCAGGGTGACTGTGGTCTGGTATCGGGTGGACTAACCCCTCTCCAGGGCGACTGTGGTCTGGGATAGGGTGGACTGACCCCTCTCTCTCTAGGGACACTGTGGTCTGGGATTGGGTGGACTGATCCCTCTCTAAGGTGACTGTGGTCTGGGATCCTCTTAGGATTTCCTCTCCTGTCTAAGATTCTTGGTTCTTGGTTGCCATGTTTTCTGTCTAGGTTTTCTCCTTAGTTCTGGAAAAAGACTTTCCTCCAGGGCTCACTAAGACAGAGCATATGAGATGTCCAGACTGAGCCTTTATATAATATTAAGGATTGTTTATATTTCTCTTTTACTGTGTCCACAGTTTATATAGGTATAGAGTTTTATCTGGGTATGTTTTCCTTGAAAAAATGGAATTCAAGGATTCATGGAGCTCTTGCCTTTGATGTTTGATATTAGTGGGCAGGTGAATTTTAAGCCAAGGGGACTCTTCCCATTGCCTTTTAGTATTTAAACTGGCAAAACTTTCTGCATCTTTCTATAGTTTCCATTATTCTAAAGTTCTATAATGATAAGCCTTGGGTTAAGTTGATTTTCACCTCCTGTATTGGGCAATCAGTGGTGTGCTCCATTCAGGGAACAAATGCCCTTCCATGATAAGTCTTCAAGTTCTGTGTGTAACTCCTGGTTGCCTTCTCTGTCTTCCTGAATTAATATCCGGATCTGCTGGATGGATCCTATGAATATTCCCGTGTCTGTTCATTCTTCTCCCCCATCACATTATTTATTTTCCCATGGCAGTCTAGTTTTGTTTTATAGATGATCTGGCTGTACTTTTGTCAACTTGACACAATTTTAGACATATCCGGAAAGAGGAAACTCAGTTGAGAAAATGCCCCCATATTGGCCTGTAGACAAGCCTGTTTGTCTTGATTGGTGAAGGGTTCAGCTCTGTGTGGGCAGGGCCACACCTGAGCGGGGGTTTCTGGGCACTCTTAGAAAGCAAAGGCAACAAGCCATAGAGAGCAAGCCAGTAAGCAGACTTCTTCATGGCTTCTGCTCCAGTTCCTGCCCCCAGGTTCCTGCCTCCATGTTCCTGCCCTGGGTTCCCCCAGTGATGGACTTCCACCTTCTAAGGTAAAATAAGCGCTCTCCTCCTCAAGTTGCATTTGACCGATGGTGCTTTATCATGGCAATGGAAACCTCAACCAAGGCAGTAGACATGATGCATTTATAAAAACAGATTATATGAGGACAGTGTGGAGTCTTTTCAAAATAAGTTAAACTTACGCATCATTTTTCTTGGTTTTTAGTTGGATAAGTCAGTCATAAAGAGTTAAGTTAACAAAGACCCTGCAGTAAAGGTCATGTTATCAGCGCCAGTGAGGAATCTACCATGGTGTTTCCTAGGTCCACCCTTAGAACACACAACTGTTCAAGATAGGGAGAAGGTTGCTCCTCCTCTCGGGAGCCAGCAGCTGGGCGAAGCCACTGTAAATACAGAATAGGCAGGCTGAATTGTCTTCTCCATACACATGCCTGGTCAGCTCTTCCCAAAGCAGAGTCCAGCTGTTCAACCACCCCCATCTGAAGTGGGTTCCCTACCAGCCGCACTCTGCCATTTTTCTACATCTGCAATTAAGATCATCTGTCAGCTTCTCCTTCTCTTCCCCTTCTTCCCCACCTTCTGCACTCTCTCTAGCTTGCTAGATAGCTTGGACTGTCCTCCTGCAGCAGCCCTCAAGTGCTGTGACAACACATATGTGTCACCACACCTGCTACATGAAATTGCCCAGCCCTAACTCACCAAGGCCAGCTGGCCTGGGTCTGAAAAAGCCTGGGTTAAAACCAGTCTCGCTGAACATAGCGGACAATGAGGACTACTGAGACCTCAAGAACAATGGCAATGGGTTTTTGATCCTACTGCACCTATTGGTTTTGTGGGAGCCTAGGCAGTTTGGATGCTCACCTTACTAGACCTGGATGGAGGTGGGTGGTCCTTGGACTTCCCACAGGGCAGGGAACCCTGATTGCTCATTGGGCTGACAAGGGAGGGGGACTTGATTGGGGGAGGGGGAGGGAAAGGGGAGGCAGCGGTGGGGAAGAGACAGAAATCTAACAAATAAATAAATAAATAAAACTCCATCTAAAAAAAAATAAAATAAAATGCCCTACAAAAAAAAAAAAGAATTGGGAAGAATTTGTAAATGAAGACTCTTGTTTCCCTGCTGCCCAGACCTGAATAATCACACAGAAACTAATTACAACACTGCTTAGCTCAGGCATGTTCCTAGCTAGCTCTTAGATCTTAAATTAACCCATTTCTATTAATCTATGTATTACCACGAGGCTGTGGCGTATTGGTAATGTCCTGGCATCTTTCTCCTTTGGCATCTACATGGCATCTCTTGGACTCTGCCTACTCTCTCTCTTAATCTCAAGTAATCTCTCTCTCATCTCAAGTAATACTACAAGATGTACCGGCCTCTTTGGAAGCGCTTGAATTTGTTTATTTCTTCTTCTGTTTCTCTTCCTTTCCCTCCCTCCCTCCTTCCTTCTCTCCCTCCCTCTATACCTCCCTCTCTCCCTCTTTCCTTCCTTCCTTTGAAACAGGGTCTTAGTATATGACTCTGTTTGGACTGAAATTAGATATGTAGACCAGGTTGGCCTTGAAATCCCCAAGGGTGGGGATTAAAGGTGAGGCCAGCATGCCTTGCACCTGTGCTCAGGTTCCTCAACACAGCACTGCCACCCATAATGGAGTTTTGGGAATGAGAGCAGCCATGGAAGCCACAGAGCAGGCTTCCAGGTACATCACAGCTACACCCTAATACCTTGGGTTAATGAGAGAAGGCACCTTCAGTTCCAAGAGGAGCGAGGCAGAGACAGTTCTACACCTTCAATGACAATGGTGGTAGCCATTCATATGGTGGCAGGGACTATGGTGTGTGCTTCCTTGTATGTGATTTCAATTTTCAACTCTGTAGTTACTCCCTGTCAGCTGAGGTCTGAAAATAGTAAGTGGAAGATCTTAGAGATAAAGAGGTCACTCTATGTGAGTTCAAGGCCAGCCTGGTCTACAGAGCAAGTTCTAGGACAGCCAGGGCTACACAGAGAAACTTGTCTCGGAAAATAAAACAACAACAAAAAAGGAAGTGCCAAGTTACAATTACAAACCACATGCTGAAGACTGTGGTGAAGGCTCTCACTACTTACTGTCCTCTGCATGTTTGGGGATCATCTCTTCTTGCTGCGCATCCTTGCTTTATACACTACCTTCCCAATACTCACTCACATTCTTGGTTCATCTTACCTGTATCATGGTAGCATGGAACTTGCATCCAAGTGACCCTTAGGAAGAACCCTAATGCCCAGTGCCAACCTCACACTTGTCTTTTGTTTTCTAAGTTAAACCCCACTTTTGTTTGCTTCCATAGGGTCCGATGTTTATTTCACCCACAGGTACAGGCATTCTGCCAGTCCTGGGATGTAGGTAGGGACTGCTGCCTCACCTCATAGGACAGGGTGCAGAACTGACGAAAGGAAATGCGTCTTGAAGCAGAGATGTCCTTATGTCCTTACCACTTGGTTTATTCCCACACCACAGTAGAGAAACCCCATCTGGAAGCCATCTCAACCAGGCCTGGCAGTACAGTCAGGCTAGTCTCTCCTGGGCCCCGTCATTAAGAGGCAATGACTTTTTGATGCTTTTAACACTCAGTGATAAACTGAGGCAGCACTTCTGATACAGATCTCTGCGGCCCTTCAGCCCAGGGACCCAGACATCCTTAGGGACCTGGCTCCCAGTAGCTCAGCATCTTTGTGATTTTTGTGCTATTTGTGAGGAACGGGGATTTCCCTGTGATGTGTATATTTTCTGGGGAAAACTGGGTTTGAGCAAAGGTTTTACTGTGCCCAGTTACTTGATACAAACCTTGAGATTCTGAAGAGGAGGAAAGATGAGGATCTGAGAGGAACTGCTTCTTTCTTAATCTGAAAAGTCTAAGAACCTAACACACTGTGATTTTGTTAGTGGCCTGAACCCAGACTGCCCTGTTACCACAGGAATACCCCTACTGCTCTCCCGAATTTACCCAAAAAACACAGAAAAGAAACAAAAAGTTTTGTATGATGTCATGACATTAAATAATAACTGTGAATGTGAAAAAAGGTAATTTCTAACTTATTAGTTTTCTTAATTTCTTTTCTATTCTTTCTTCTTCCTTTTTTTTTTTTTTTGAGAGAGAGAGAGAGAGAGAGAGAGAGAGAGAAAGAAAGAAAGAGAGAGAATCTCATGCAGTTCAGGCTGGCCTCAAACTCCATAACCTTAAACTCCAGCAGATATGTGTGACCATGGTAGTTTTAAAATTTTTAATTTTATGTAAGACAGGGTCTGTTTATGTATCCTCGGGTGTCTTGGAACTCTCTATGTAGCTGAGGCTGGCCTCGAACGCACAGAAACCTGCCTGCCTCTTTTTCTCACCATACAATCTTCAATCTCAAAATTAAACATTTTTCCTTCTAATCAGAAGTATGTTTTTCTGTGGATTCATCTTATATTTATTGGCGTCCACCCGAGGCCAGCGTTGCACGCGAGAGTCCCTGCTGCAGTGGCGGTTCCTCCCCTGCCTTCATTGGTTTCCTGTCGTGGTGAAGTGACTTCCCTCTGCATGGACAGTGAACGCAGTGGGTAATAGACTGCATCGCGCTCTGTATCCGGTGCCCAGAGATCCAGACAGCAATGTGTTTAGTGTTTGACAATGCGGGCCACAGCCGTTTAGCCTTAACCCTAGCGTTAGCTTTAAGATGCCAGTGCCGCCAGGAGGTGATGGCACACTCCTTTAATCCCAGCACTCGGGAAGCAGAGGCAGGTGGATCTTTGTGAGTTCGATGCCAGCCTGGTCTGCAAGAGCTAATTCCAGGACAGCCAAGGCTGTTAAAAAAGAGAGCGAGAGAGCGAGCGAGATAGAGAGAGACAGAGATAGAGATGCCAGGGCCGGAGACTACGTAGGCCGTCGGAGTTGCAGTCTGCCTGCTTTCTGCGCGGTCGGTTCGAGGCTTTGCTTTTCGGCACGCGAAGCCCCGGGGATCAGAGACTCGGTCCCTGACCTCTCGGAACCGCGCCTGACACCTCGCGAGGCGCAGTCCCTCGTGGGCTACGGTCGAGGCTGGCTCGGGCCCCGCCCCTCGGGGCGGCTCTGCGCATGCTCCGCAGTCCGGGCGGCCGAGCGGGCGGCGGCGATCTGGAGACCCCCGAGGGATGGAAGCGCCGGCGCCGGCGGAGGCGGCGGGATGCGAGGAGCTCGGTGGGTGTTTGCGGGGCCCGACCCGGACCCGGGGCGTGGGTGTCCCTTGCGTTCGCAGTCCAGGGTGCGGACCTCTGCGTTAGCGGCGGCGTCCGGGCTCCCGGTGGCTCGCGCGTCTGGCGGGGGCGTCCCTGCGCGCACTGGGCGCCGGGTGACTGGTGACCGGGTGGCGCGGTTTGCAGAGACCCCAGGCAGAGGCTGGTAGGGGAGTCGGGCCGGGGTGAGCTCCTCCAGGGCCAGCACCTCACAGTGGTCCCTAGGCCTGGCCCGGCCTTGCAGGGAGCGCTGCTTCGTGTGTGTTGGCGTCTGTCTGCTGGTGTGTCTCCAAGGCTCCTGTGTGTGTCAGTCTGTCTGTCCACCGGCCTGTGCTGGTAGCACTGTGCGCCCGCGCGGGGAGTCACCCTGTTTGTCCACGTCAAAGGAAGGCGGGAGCCGCTGTCACTGTTTTTTTCCAGGATGTTGTAAGGAAGTTGCCATTGTTTTCTTTTTAAGCCTGTATCTCACCTCCGGGTGTCTCCTCGTTTAACTCTTTGATTCCCAACTGTTCCAACGGGGACATTGGTGCCAGGGGGCACAAGACGTAGCACCTGGCTGGTGATCTTTCCGTGTTCTGTTTCCACGGTTTTGGAAGGTTTGCTTGTTTGCTGTTGTCAGAAAGAAAAACAGAAACCAGGATTAGGATAAAATAATGTCTTCCCAGCTGCACACTGCGTTTAGGCATATTTCTAATTCCATGCAGGATGTTAACCGCAAGGAAAGAGGTTAAATGAAAACGTACTTTAATTTATAGGCTGGCATTCCTGTAATAACGTGCCAGCACTTCCTAGTTGTTTTCTTTAAAGTTACAATAAAGATAGAAACTTTAAGTGGAAAGTAACTTTCATTGAGAGCCTCAAGCAGGGTGCTGTATTCTTTGCTCCCAGTGTCCAGGTGATCTCCCCCAGGAGTTCAACCAGGCAAGTCCTTTTGTCTTGCAATTAAGCTCATTAAAGGTAGGACCATGCAATTGCAAACCCAAGTTCATATGACTTTCCAGTTCATCCATAACTCATGTTAGCGAGGTGTGAGGAGATTGGCTGGAGCTATCGCACATTATCACTGAAACCTAGATAGCTGGCGTGGTGATGCAATCCCAGCGCTCCTGGGCTGAGGACTGCTAACCTGTGCTCCACAGTGAATTCCAGGCCAGTGTGGTCCACAGGGGGAGATCCCGACTCACCTCGTCACCCCAGAAAAGTACATCTTTTCACTCAGCAATTCTATGTCTAGGCTAGTTCTCAAGGAAGTAAGTCCTGTGCTAATATTTTACATCAGGCTGAGAAGATGGTTCAGTGCGGAAGAGCACTTCCCATGCAAGCTTGATGCCCGAATTTGGACCCCCCAGAACCCATGTACAGAAGTGGAGCATGGCCGTCTGTTTTCCCTGGACCCTGAGATGGGAGACAGAGGCAGGAGAATTACTCATTCGCTCTGGTGGCAGCTGCATAGTGCATAACACAGCAGCAGAAACCAGAGAATTCCTGCCTCAAGCAAGGTGGGAGTGAGAATAGGCTCCTCAGAGTCGTCCTCTAACTAACACACACGCACGCATGCGCACACACACGCGCACACACACGTGTGCGCACACACATACATGTGCACAGACGCACACGTGTGCTCTGGTGCATGTGCTCTCACAGTCAGGAGTCACACACACAAATGTCTGCCAGAGGACATTAGTTGCAGCATCTGTAATAGGTCAAGGTAGTTACTGTCCAAGTGTCCAGTGAAAGGCCGTGGGATAAGATACGGTTTAGCCGTGCAGTCATCTACTGCCTAGCTCTTAAACATGGCACGGAAGAGCGTTCACCGTGTATCATGACCGTTAACTGGAAAAGCACGTTTGTTTCATCCTCCCCAGCCCTCCTCCTTTTGAATTTTTGAAGTGAGGTCTCACTGTGTAGCTCAGCGCACAGGAAACATCATGAAAAAAGACCCCAATCCTAACCCATCAGGATGCCTGCCATGGCTGTTGGGTTTAGTAAGCAGATGCAGACAGTGAGCAGCGGAGATACTGATCAGGGAATTATGCAGCCTGTCCAGTGAGGGGCACTGTGGAAGAGGAGCAGTGTGAGGGAATTTGAGGGGAGGGTGGGCTAGCTGAGTATTTACAGTGACGTGACTGACTTAGGTTGAGTTACTTGTATATTTTTGAGACGGGGTCTTCCTTTGTATCCCCGACTGTCTCGGAACTGAGAGATCTATTTGCCTGCCTCTGCCTCCTGAGTTCAAGTGTCGGGATTAAAGGGTGGGCCTTGCACGAGCTAGGATTTAAAAGGCTAATGGTGGAGGGCTGTGGAATGTAGCTAGTGTGCCCTATGCTCTGGGTGTGATCCCCAGCATGGCATCAACTGGGCACAGCGGGTACAGCCCTCAGGAGCTAGACAGAGGGTTAGAAGTTCAGGGTCATCCTCAGCTACTTAGCAAGTCTGAAAACAGCCTAGTCTTAAACCAGCCTAATCCACGTGAGACCTTGTTTTTAAAGACAATACCATACAAAATAAAGCCTGCCTCTGGTGGTTTCCATGTTAAGAGCGGACTAAAGGCACAAGCAGCAGCTGGAGGGCGTTCCACAGGTTTGGGACAGAGATCAGCATGCTCTCCAGACTCCCACGGAAGCAGCAATGGAGACAGTGGTGATTGGACTATGCATGTTAGGATGCAGACCGGCATGCTCTCCAGACTCCCATGGAGGCAGCAAAGGAGACAGTGGTGATTGGACTATGCATGTTAGGATGCAGACCAGCGTGCTCTCCAGACTCCCACGGAGGCAGCAGTGGAGACAGTGGTGATTGGACTATGCATGTGAGGATGCAGACCGGCTTGCTCTCCAGACTCCCACGGAGGCAGCAGTGGAGACAGTGGTGATTGGACTATGCATGTGAGGATGCAGGCCAGCTTGCTTTCTCAAGAGATGGGCAGAGGTGGTCAGGCTGGCTCCAGGGGCCTGCATCTGAAGAGTGAAGGGGCCTTGTATTGAGGGCTTACAGCAGGTTAATGATGTGTCCAGACGTATGTTTCCCTCTTTAAAAGAAGGGGCTTGGTTTCCTTTCCCTTGAGTATGTGTGTGCTGGACTTTGGTGATGGTTTACCTCTTCAGTTAGACTGTAAGAGGCTCCGTGCCTTCCTCTTTGCTCGCTCATTAGGATTGCTCACTTGAAGGGAGGCCACGGGCCATGCTAGGAGGATCCTCCGGCAGCCTGAGACAGTGTCTGTGGGGTGGGGTAGGGCCCAGACTGGAGGTATCCTGATAGAAGCTTAGACCTTTCTTCTTCCTTCCTGCCTCCCCTTCCCTCCCCCCTCCTTCCCCCCCTCCCTCCCTCCCTCCTTCCCTCCCTCCTTCCCTCTTCTCTCTCTTTGTCTTTTCTTTTTGGTTTTTCAAGACCGGTTTCTCAGTGTAGCTTTGGAGCCTTTCCTGGAACTCACTCTGTAGACCAAGCTGGCCTTGAACTCAAAGATATCTGCCTGCCTCTGCCTCCCTAGTGCTGGGATTAAAGGTGTGCACTGCCCAGCCTTGTATTTTTTTTTTTAAATAATGGAAAAAATAGCTGGTCCCACTAGTAGAAATGATCCTATGTAAGAGGTGACTTGTTTGGTGGGTGGAGTCACATAGGTTTAGAGAGGAGGTGAGGAGTTGGCTGAGAGCTTGTTCATGTGGAGAGGACATCTGTGGAGAGCGTGGCTTGAGAGGATTCGGTGTCTTTCTCAAAGGCTGGACTTTATGTCACAAGCCATTGGGGATTTCCAAACTGTCCTTACATACTACTCTCTCAACCATGGGAGCAAAGTCTTATTCATGATGAAGATGGTGGCGTAGGTTTGGGTGACGACATAAAGAAGCCATGTGTACTTCATCCTGTTCTCACTGTCCACTTATAAGTGGTTTCTTACTTCACTAGAACAACAAGAGCCATTTAACACCATGTTATCAATGCTTTCATAGAAAGAAAAGGATACAGACGGTTCTGTGGTCCGTCTGCACCCTCATTAGCTTATTTCCACTTTGGTGTATGTTCTTCTCTTCATTTTCACTTCGCTTTTTAAACATTGCAGTGTGGCCTGAGCGTGCAGTCCCTCTCCTGACTCACAGTAAGCTCTGACAGCCCCTGTGTGTCTGGCACCTCACACCACAGTGTGCAGTCAGGGTGTGCCCTGTGAGTAGAGACCGCCCCTGCATGTCTGGGACCTCACACCACAGTGCAGTCAGGGTGTGCCCTAGTGAGTAGAGACCGCCCCCGCGTGTCTGGGACCTCACACCACAGTGCAGTTAGGGTGTACCCTAGTGAGTAGAGCAAGCTGCTTATTGCATATACTTAGCAAGTTTCAAAGATTTGTTTCGGCAAACGCCTTTATCAGTAGCTTGCCAGTAATGAGCATTGTGAGACTTCGATACATATTGCTAAGTTTGTCAGTCTTTAGCTACAGGGTAGGCAGTTGAGGCTGAAACAAGAATTGGCTTGACATAAGAGATCATTCATGTTCTGCCTCGTCCAAGTTTCATTGGTGAGTCCGTATGGCGCATAGTATGTCCAGGGTGAATAACACTGACTCAAATGAGCATTTCTTATTCATATAAGTTATACACTTGTGAATAGAAATAATCATGCCCCAATAGTTTGAAATCTCCTGCTTACTAGTATTTTATAAGGCATTATTAATTTTAACCATAGCTTTTTATCAGAACTGTCTGATTTACTGCTTGATCAAATATTACATCAAAACACCAGCAAATAACAGACTATGTATAAACAACATGGCTCATGTGATTTTTAATTACTTAATGTAGAGGATTCAGACGTTATTTCATGTGCTCTTTGTGGTGATATCTTGTTTGTATAAATAAAACTTGCCTGAAGATCAGAGAGATGAAGGAGCAAAACCACAGCCACCTCAACTTCCCAGCCGAAAAGAGACTGAGTTCCTGACTCCTCCCGCCTTACCATTTCCTCTCTCTGCCTAGC